AAACCTACATGCCATTAAAACCAAAAATCATTGATAAATTATAGGTTTAGAAATTAGAGGCTGGAAGAGCGCATACGCGTACGTAGTGCGAAGTGGTGCTCCGTGCTTTCCAAGCGCAGGTATTTTATTTTTCTCTATCCTTCTATCTCCCGCTCTCTCTCTCTCTCTCTCTCTCTCTCTCTCTCTCTCTCTCTCTCTCTCTCTCTCTCGCTTCTCTCTTCTCTCTCTCTCTCTCTCTCTCTCTCTTCTTTCTCTCTTTCTTTCTTTCTCTTCTCTCTCTTTCTCTCTCTCTTCTCTCCCTCTCTCTCTCTCTCTCTCCTCTCTCTCTCTCTCTCTTTCTTTATCTTACTCTCTCTGTGTGTCTCTCTCTCTCTCTTTCTTTCTTCTCTCTCTCTCTTCTCTCTCTCTCTCTCTCTCTCTCTCTCTCTCTCTCTGCTCTTCTCTCCCTTTCTTCTTGTCTAATACCTCGTCTTTCTTTCTGCTCTCTCCTCTCTCACTCTCTCTCTCGCCGCTCCTCTCTCGTCTCTCTCTCTCTCTCTCTCTCTGCTCTCTCTCTCTCGCTCTGTCTATCTATTAATCTATCTCTCTCTTTCTCTTTCTTTCTCTCTGCTCGCTCTCTCTTTCTCTTTCTTCTCCTCTGCTCTCTCTCTCTCTCTCTCTCTCTCTCTCTCTCCTCTCTCTCTCTCTCTCTCTCTCTCCTCTCTCTTCTCTCTCTCTCGCCAGGAAACATAAGAAGATATGCGAGTCGTCGTCGTCGTCGTGGCGACGGAAAACACCCGCTCTCTCTCTCTCTCTCTCGCGCCTAATTAGCTTGGCGAAAGACGTCCGCGCGCACATCCTATCAGAGATTTCAATCCGATACATTAAATATAATAGTACTACTATTATATTTTATGTTGAAATCCGAATAGGAATAGTAGTCGGACTGAGGAGGAGGAGGACGTGCGCGCGGACATCCATACCCCACATCAAACGCTCGCCTGCGTAGAGCACGCCACTGCTGCAGCGACGCACGGGCGACGGCGGATAATCGCTGCGACGCATACGATCGCGGCGAAAACACAGAGCGCGCGAGGGAAACCTGCGTGATCAATATTCATGACTATAACGCACTAATTTTACATAACGGCAGGTACGCACAGGTATACATATACAGAGGTAGACCACAGGTATACATATATACAGGTAGACATGCGGACACAGGTACACATATATACAGGTAGACATGCGGACACAGGTATGCATATATACAGGTAGATGTGCGGACACAGGTACACATATATACAGGTATATGTGCGGACACAAGTACACATATATATATACAGGTAGACATGCGGAAACAGGTACATATATATACAAGGATATGTGCGGACACACTGCAGGTACACATATATACAGGTAGATGTGCGGACACATGTACACATATATACAGGTAGATGTGCGGACACAGGTATACATATATACAGGTATATGTGCGGATACAGTAACATATATACAGGTAGATGTGCGGAGCACAGGGGACACATATATACAGGTAGATGTGCAGACACAGGTACACTATATACAGGTAGATGTGCGGACACGGTAACATATATACAGGTAGAATGGCGGACATACGTAATTACGGATACACATATATACAGGTAGCCATGCGGACACAGGTATATGTGCGGACACAGGTACACATTTATACAGGTAGATGTGCGGAGCACAGGTACCATATATACAGGTAGATGTGCAGACACAGGTATACATATATACAGGGTATGTGCGGACACAGGGTACACATATATACAGGTATATGTGCGGACACAGGTACACATATATACAGGTAGATGTGCGGACACAGGTACACATATATACAGGTAGATGTGCGGACACAGGTACACATATATACAGGTAGATGTGCGGACACAGGTACACATTATAACAGGTAGACATTCGGCGGACACAGGTATACATATATACAGGTAGCCATGCGGACACAGGTATACATATATACAGGTAGATGTGCAGACACAGGTACACATATATACAGGTAGACATGCGGACACAGGTATACATATATACAGGTAGATGTGCAGACACAGGTATGCATATATAACAGCGTAGACATGCGGGACACAGGTATACATATATACAGGTAGATGTGCAGACACAGGTACACATATATACAGGTAGCCATGCGGACACAGGTATACATATATACAGGTAGCCATGCGGACACAGGTATACATATATACAGGTAGATGTGCAGAGTGCAGACACAGGTATACATATATACAGGTAGATGTGCGGACACAGGTAGCCATGCGGACACAGGTACACATATATACAGGTAGATGTGCAGACACAGGTATACATATATACAGGTAGATGTGCAGACACAGGTATGCGTGCAGACACATGGATACGTGCAGAGGACGAGTCGCTCGGCGAATGCTGCGGATGATGAAGAACAACATTTTCCAGCATCGCGTGTCTCTCACCTGTCTGTCTGCCTACCTGCCGTACAACTATGCATGGCCGTGACGACGGCATGCATCTCATGCACCTAACAAACCATTATAAACATAGGAATTTATATACACGTATATATATATAATATAAATATATAAATATTTATATATATATATATATATATTACTGATTAATTTATCCATATTTTTAACTCGTCTAGACATCTAAACAAATAATATATACACGGTGCGAAATTAACATTAGTCTGGAGTCAAATACTCCCTGATTTACTGCCAAACTCCCTGATTTGACATATGCAGCCAGGAGTCCGTGTGACTCCCTGAAAATTCTGCCATACTCAAAAAGAAAATTTGGCAGATGTACGTGCAACCGCATGAATCTTCAAAATAAGCACATGTATGCGTTATTGTAATATCTTTAATTTTGAACTTCAGACTGGAATTCCTCATTTTGCTGCGGACTCCCTCTTTTTGAGGGCAGGGTTGGATTCACTTGTTCAAAAGTTAATTTCTACCCCTGTATATATATGTTGTATATATATATATATCTATCTATTACATATATATATATATATACATATATATATATATATATATATATATATATATTAATTAAATACACACATTATAATATAATAATATATATTATAAATATAACTATAATATAACGTAACCTAGTATATATATATATATATATATATGTGTGTACATGCACGTATCACTCGCAAAACCCACTCATTTACAAAGACTTGAAATAAAATGCATATAACCCAATAAACACCGTTTTCCTTTCACTAGACGCCGAACGACAGTGACAATTCGCGCCACTTGTGTTTCGCCCCCCCCCCCGTCCCAAACAATGCGCCGCGCACGTTAGCGCCCCACGTAATAATCGCCGTCGCCGCGGCGATATCTCCCGCGGCGATGACGACTACTACCATCCCTCCTCTCCCGTCCCCGTCCTGGCGCGCACGCGAGGGAGAGGCAGGAGGTCGGGGAGTCAACAGGTTCCGCGATGATAGAGCGAGCGTTTGTCGTCGCAGTGCACTCGCGCCGGGCGCACGGGGCGGGAGAGAACTTTGGCCGAACTTAGCCGCTGACCTACTTTGCCGCCTCCGCCGTCATCGCTGCACAATGCCCGCGGTCCCAACCGCCGCCCGCGCGACCGGCGCCCCTTGGTAGCGGCACGACAGCGGTCAGACCTCGGAGTCGCCGGCGGGTCTTCCCTGGGAAGAATCCGGGATCGCTCCCCGCGCTCGCGAAACCCGTCCCGTCGTCGAATCTCGATCGCTCCGTCGATTTTCTCGGAGCGACTCCGAGGAAACGCGCAGAGGGAAGATTATTCTGAGCGAGGAGGAAGAGTTAATAGCTCGCAGTTAAAATTACCGTAATTATGATTTCGCGTCGAGAAGGAGGAGGAAGGGGGTGTTTTTTTTTTATTCGGTCGGCGTTTCTTTCTCTCGTGCATCGGCGTAATTTCGCGAGTTGATTGTACGGTCGACAGGAATCGCGCGTAGATTACACAGATACGACGAATCGTGCGACACTCGAGGGGTGTGAGAGATCGTATGCAGCCGATCCTAGGCTCTACTTCGCCCCCCACCCCCCGTTACTTAGATACTTCGATACTTCGCTTCCTCCTGCAAGCATCTTTTTCGTCATCCCTTCGCTGCATTAATCGCTTTGTTAAAATTTTTGTACTTAGTAATATTGAAAGCAATAAATAAAACTGTTATTATAAGTTTTATTTATCACTTTCAATATTAGTGAGTACAAGACATATCTTATATCTTAAGCATCTTCCGTCATCCCGGTGACAGCGCTCAATCGCTAATAAGGCAGCTCATGCATCCATCGTCGCTGCCACCCCGAGATGTCACCAAACCCCGCGCGTGATTATTTTAATTAGGAACTCTGGCCTCGGCGATGTAAACATAAGCGTTTAACCCATCAGCATCAATATTGTTTTCGCGGATTGTTCCGTGACAGATGCGACGGCCGAGGGAGCGAGACGGCATATGTCGGGCTCGTTTCGCGGCATGGATTTGCCTCAGGCCGGCGAGAGAGCCGAGCTGAGGAACAGGGAAAGTGTAGTGCACCGGCCCCTAACATCAGCTCCTCCTCCCCCTTCCCATTCCTCCTCTACGTAGCAAAGATGTAAGGAGGCACCGACAACAACAACTCTCCCGCAAACGAGCGTGCGAGTCAAAAGGTTTTCACTGCCAGGGTTGCCCCCATGCGAGTTTCTGCACTGCACCGCACTGCGCCCATCAATCATCCAAAAGATCAAATCTGGAGTGCCTTCGTTGACTGTTTACAGTAATTTCACGCCGACGTTTCAAAAGCTGGCCGTACCAGTGCCGCCTGTCAGCCCCCACAATGTATCAAAGGCACCGCCGGCGTGTAGCCCCTGATCAGAGCCCTGCCCGTACGTTTGCGAGCATACTGCCTGCTACCAGCTCGCTCGCTCGCCCCCGTGACTGTGGAATCGGCACCGGCCGCTCCGTCACTCACACTTACCGTTCTCCACGCGTCTGCGGCCATCATCTTCCCGCCGTTCCGTCGATTTATCCTGCAACACAAACGTGCAGACGACGTGTGAGCACACGCACACATACACACGCACGCACGCACAGACGCACGCACGCCTTGCCTACCAATCGAGAATTTTGACAACAAAACAAACTCGTACTGAGCGCGCTGTACCGACCTCGGTCTCTGTGACCAGGCTTGACTTCTCCTCGGTGAGGTTTTCCGACGATCGCTTCTCCTCTTCGCCCTCGTCTTTATACACTTTCACTTCGTCGGACGACGCTAAGTCGTCCCCGCCGCTACCATTAACATGCGGCATCGTCTACTGCAGCGGAGGCCTTTGCAAATCTCTCCGTTCAAAGTGCAGACGCGAACTACACACACAGACATCGGGCAATCTTCCCTCAATGCTTGCCGAATCGTGACGTCACCTCCGGCGGCTCTAGCGACCAATCGGGTGGCAGTGGCGCGCCGCAGCGCCGCGTGGCGGTCGAGTTTGGAAGCGCGAGCACAAAGCTCAGCGTGCGCGTGAGTGACAGAGGCTTTCGAGCGGCTGTCAATCAAGCTTCCAAGCTTGCGACCGGATAGATAATTACAGCTTCTCGCTCTCGCTCTCTCTCGGCCTGCGCTGCTGCTGCTGCTGCGCTGTGCGTACACACGTAACCGTGACATTAGCAAGGCTGACTTGTTCGGCAGCCGGTGGACGTGTAAGAGAGGGGCGGTCGTGTGTGTGTTAACTCCGCCGCCGCTGGGGGGTGGCGGCGGCGGCGGTGGCGGCGGTAACGTTATAGCCGTAGCCGCTGGCAATTAATGAATATGACGAAATAAAAAAAATAACACGCGAACCCGTGAATAATTGAACGGGGACTGGGCCATTAATAAATAAGCAGGCCGCAGTTTCGACCGCCGAATTTTTCTCTCCCCCTTCCTCCCCTCCTCCCCTCCTCCTCGCCTACCGTGCTGTTCCTACTCCGAATCCAGATGAAATCCCCTCGAATTGAAAACGCGGGGATGTGAAAATCGTAATTACAATTACAATCCTCATTAACCAAAAGCAATTTTCAACAAACCATGTTTTTTGTCCGCTCGGGGGCAGAGTGTCTTCCAAACGCCTTCATTATCCCTTTGAATAAAAACCGACGCGCACGCACGCACGCACACGCGCGCACGCACACACGCGCACAATACTTACAGTTTTCTGAGACTATTCGAGAATTTCTACTTTGATGTTGCCGACTACGGGAGGTTTGAGTGCAACACGGCGGTGTTTGGTAATGCTGCTTAGTCGTATAATTAGCCGGTCGCTACAGCAGGTTATCGCTAGCAGAAATGCCCCTCCTCGTTCATAACAAGCTAGAGAGAGAGAGAGAAGACGACCACACTCGTGTTCGCTCCTCTCTCTAAATCCCACTAATGAGATATCACACGTCCTTCAGCTATACGGCAGTTGCCGAGGGTAGACCAGATGCCGGAAAACAAATAGCGCTTAGTAATCGGGGATGGGCTTCAAGCCGGCTACACGGCGGCGCCTTTGAAATGGCGGTCTCTTTTGCGCTACCATATATGGACAGCCGATCGATGGATGAAGTTACGCGGGATTTTGCTGCGCGTGGCGCCATCTGTTCGTAAAAAACGACGAAAATCCAGTCGGCGTTCGATATACATGCGAATTTCGCGAGGAAGGATTTGTTGAAAAACAATATTTCGGTATGCGAGAACGCGAACACGGCAAAGGTGTGGTAACCTCGTCATCGGCGTCGGCTTTGCGGCATTGCTTACGGAATTAAAATAATTAAATGCATTTTTAATGCACTCGGTATTGTAGATTTAGATTTGAATAAAATAAACGCAGATAATGACATTATTTATTGATGTCGAATTTTCTTTGCGGCCGGACATGCAAGGCTAGTCAAAGCTAGGCGTAATTCCCAGGTTAGCATGTCAAGCAGCCGTGGCGTGTAGCCGTGTCATTAGCTATGCGGTTTGTCGCTTCATCGTCTCCGTGATTGAGAAAGAGAAAGAGGGAGAGGGAGAGGGAGAGAGGGGTAGAGGGGGGAGATAGAAATGGAAGAGAGAGATAAATAAGGAGAGAGGGAGAGAGAGGGGATATATATATATATATATATAGAAAGAGAGAGAGAGGTGGGCGGGAGAGGGGGAGAGGGGGAGAGGGAGGAAAGAGGAGGAGCGAGGGAGGGGAGAGAGAGAGAGAGAGAGAGAGAGAGAGAGAGAGAGAGAGAGAGAAAAGGCGAGAGGGAGAGAATTGAAGAAATGAAAGAGAGAAGGGGAGAGGAAGAGGGTTAGAGGAGAAGGATAAAGAGCTGCAAAAAACGACTTCACAAACTACTCAGCCTCAAGAAAGTAGAGCATTGTGACAAAGATGACGCGAGAATTCGGGGAGAATTCGGGGAGGAGGAAGGGGATAGGGGGAGGAGGAGGGGGAGAGGGGGAAGAGAGGAAAGCGATAGGAAGAAACGAAGCACCGTAAATATTTGATGGAAGGAAATAATAATTCTCCAGCGAGAAGAAAGGAAGCCAGGCGGAGAAAGAAAGCCATATGAAGAATGGAAACAGGAGAGGAAGCTGGCAGAGCTTAACAGCAGAGAAGGTAAGGTGCACGGTAGATGTGTGTGTAGTCAACGTTGGTATATGAAGTGTATAGAGTAGAGCTCTCTTATGATATATTTAAGGTGTGTGCACCTGATGTGTAGATATAGGGTCAGTGTACGTTACATAAGTGTACTCAACTATGGTAAATGCAGATATAGAATATCTCTATAGTTATGGCTTACGTCCCTGATGAGTAGATATAAGGTTAGTGTACGTTATACAGATCATGGGAAGCAGAGGTAATCGTATGTCGGGAATGGATGGGTACGCTTAATGCAGCGTAGAAATCGACATTATAGGATATGAGTGTGCTTCACAGACATGCTAAATTATGGTCAGCACATTATAGAAGACACGGGCAGCAGAGAAGATTACTGCATTATAGAGATGGTAGATAGGGGTTAGTGTGCGGTAGAGCTGTATAGTCAACGTTGGTGTGTGTCCCCCCTGATGGGTAGATAGGGTTAGTGTGTATGTGTAGATGTTTGATTGATGTATGTATAGTGTGTTAGATTGTACGGTAAATGTGTGTACAGTCATCGTTGAGTTGGTGTGTGTGTGTGTGTGTGTGTGTGTGTGTGTGTGTGTGCGTGCGCGTGCGCGTGTGCGTGTACCTGATGGGTAGATATAGTAGATGTGTGCAGTCAACGTTGGTGTGTATGTGTACCTGATGGGTAGATAAGGTTATTATAATGGTAGATGCATGTAGTTAACGTTGGTGGGTGTCCCTGATGTAGTAGAATGGTTAGATATAGGGTAAGTGTACGTTAGAAATCATGTGTAGAGAGAGAGTTAAGTGTATGTTAGAGACGAGTGCATGCGGCGGTTGGCGTATATATCAGAGAGCCGGGGCGGAGAGAGCGGGAAATCGCTGTGTGTTTGCGATGGCAAGATAGAATTACACCCGACACGCGTCGCGAGATCAAATACTACGAACGAGCGACGACACAGAACACAGATGTAATGCGGATGAACGAGATCTGTAAGCATTGATCTGATTGAGTAGTAGTTGCACGCGAGGTACGCGCAGGCATTTTTATTGGTGGACAGAGCTTTGGCGACAGACATGTATAGTACACAGCCTGAGCATGAACACATCTGCCATGGACAGCACGCACGCGAGGCTCTAGAGTGTCTAGAGGCGCTAGACAAATGCAGATATACGATGTTATACAAATCAAGAGTGACGAATCGGAACCGTCCGAAACGATGCGAATGTCATCGAAACAATGCGACTGTCACTGGAATAACGTGAGTGTCATCGAAACAATAAGAACGTCATATAAACAATGTGAATGTCATCGAAACAATGTCAATGTCACCGGAATAACGTGAATATCATCGAAACAATGTAAATGTCACCAGAATAATGTGAACGTCCTTGAAACAATGCCAATGTCATCAGAACTATATGAATGTCATTGAAACAATGCCAAAGTCATCAGAATAATGAAAGCATAAAGTTAATGTCATTGGAACAATAAAGATTGGAACAACAAAGGTTGACGCTAGACATAGAGATATTTCCTTCAACGTCAGCTATGTCACCACCGACCGTGAAATCACAAAAGCGACGTCCGTGCGACCGCTTTGCCCAACAATCATCTCCTCTAAGCTAATCGATAACTCTTAATCAACGTTTACCGTTCTCTGTACTAACTACGAAAACTCGCACGCACACAAGTCGTACGCGGTGGGTGCCCCCTTCTCCAATTCCGGACGCCCTCCCATGTCCCTCTCACCGTAAAATCATACAAAAAACCCCACCTCCGAAAAATCCCCCGGCAGAGCCCCTCTTGTTTCATCCACCGCCGTCGGCGTCGTCTGCGTGTTTTCCCCGGCGGTGGCATTACCACGGCGTCGCCGCGGACGCCGGCCGCGGGTAAAACCCGGGTCGTCTCTCGGCCGCGGGTATAACTCGGGTCGTCTCTCGGCCGACGGCCGCGGGTAAAACCCGGGTCGTCTCTCGGCCGACGGCCGTGGGTAAAACCCGGGTCTTCTCTCGGCCGCTGGCCGCAGGTAAAACCCGGGTCGTCTCTCGGCCGTGAGTAAAACCCGGGTCGTCTCTCGGCCGCGGGTAAAACCCGGGTCGTCTCTCGGCCGCGGGTAAAACCCGGGTCGTCTCCCGGATGCCGGCCGCGGGTAAAACCCGGGTCGTCTACTTGTCGTATTTGTAGAAGCCCTCTCCCGTCTTGCGTCCGAGTTTGCCCTCGCTGACCAGCCTGTCCAGCAGCGGACTAGTCCTAAACAGCTCCACGTCCGGAAACTTCTCGTTCCAGCCTGTGCGCGTGACAACAGGAAAAAACAAGAGAGCATCGCTGAGAGGTCGCCGGCGCCGCCGCGAGGGTCGCGCGCGCGAGAGAGAGAGTTTGGACGAACCGCAGCCGCTTGCTGGCATCTCAAGAATTTTTTTGAAATTTTAATAAGAAATTTGTCGCTCAGTCGCGGAAAGGTAACATAAAGGTTGCGAATTCCAGCGTTACTCTCCCAGTTACTCTACCAGCAAAGTAGGTTTGAAATCGTCGCGGAAAATAAAGTACCAAAAAATTGTATAAAGGTTGATGAATTACCGTCGAGGATGAATTTGACGACGTCCAATCCGACAAAGTCCGCCAACTCAAACGGTCCCATCGGGTACGCCGCGCCATGTTTCATCGCCATGTCGATGTCCGCAATGGTGGCGTCACCTACGGGCGGGAAAACGTAACGCTTATTTTATTAACTTATTAATTTATTATTATTTATAATTTATTTATTAATTTTTCTCCTACTTGTCCACCTCCTAATCCCCCTCCTTCTCCTCCTTCTCCCCCTCCTCCTCCTCTTCCTTCACCTCCTCCACCACTCCCTCCCTCCACTCCCTCCCCTCCTCCTCATCTCTGGTGTGAAACCCTGAACAGAGACTCACCTCTCTCTGCCATGTGTACGGCCTCACCGAGGTAGGGCACTAGAAGACGGTTGACAATGAATCCTGGCGTGTCCTGTCAACAGCATACGAGTGTCAACAGCATACGAGAGTGTCACGCACGTCTCTCTGTCGTGCGTGTGACACGTACTGGCAAGCTACTGCCATAGCAAAATTACCGATCCACTCACTCGCGTGTGCATGTCAGGTATGCACATATGTACATATACATGTACGCATGCACATATGTACATGTACATTTATGCTTGCACGTACGACATGTACATGTACGCAAGCTCGTACCATAGCTAAATTACTGATCCACTCACGTTTGTATGTGCACATATGTACGCGTACATTTACGCTTGCACATATGTACGCGTACATGTACTCTTGCACATATGTACGCGTACATGTACGCTTGCACATATGTACATGTACATGTATGCTTGCACATAATATGTACATGTACATGTATGCTTGCACATATGTACATGTACATGTATGCTTGCACACATGTACATGTACACGCAGGCTTGCATATACATACACGTACATGTACGCTTGTACATATATGTACATGTACCAGTGTTGTAGTCGAGTCCGCACCCCCCGAGTCCGAGACCGAGTCCGAGTCCGCACCCCCCGAGTCCGAGTCCGAGTCCGAGTCCGAGTCCGAGTCCGCACCCCCCGAGTCCGAGTCCGAGTCCGAGTCCGAGTCCGAGTCCGCGCCACCCGAGTCCGAGTCCACACCACCCGAGTCCGAGTCCGAGACCGAGTCCGAGTCCAGTTTTGATAAAAAAAAGGGGGGCACAGACCGAAAAGGCCATTCACTTCTATGTATGTGTTTGTTCAAAAATGGGGGGGGGG